GAGTTGTCACACTTCATTAAAAAGTTCCGGCAATCATATTAAGCCAATAAAATAAATACCTCAAAAAACTATTTCAGTTGCCCTTCAATGCTTCAAGCTTTGAATTGCATAGCATGTTGTGTGTGTATTTGTTTATAGGCAAACTTTATTGACTCCTGAAAAGTTCAGGACTTTGTCACAGTTCAAGTGTTTAAGAGCAGTAGCTGAACCAGGAGAACCTGTTGGACTACGAGCAGCACAAGTAAAAAGTGGAATATACAAAATGAGATAATAATTGTGTTTTCTTTTATAGTCTATTGGTGAACCTTCCACTCAGATGACATTGAATACATTTCATTTTGCTGGTAGAGGAGAAATGAACGTCACACTAGGGATACCACGTCTAAGGTGATGCACACTGCAGTGCTGCACACAAATACATGTATATGCTACAGTGAATTAAAAGTAATAAAAATTTATATGGCACAAACCTGAAACCTTATTTGCAAAATTTTTAATTTTCCCTTGTACTCTTTCTTTTGATTCCTACTTTCTCTTTCTCCTCTAGAGAGATATTAATGACTGGTGGTCCTAATATTAAAATTCCAGCAATGGATGTACCACTACTACCACTGCCTGATGCAAAGGAGCAATGCGTCATAAAAATGATATCAAAAAATCTTTTAATTCATTTTTGGAGAATTTGTGATTACTGTAGATTATTCTCAATTTAATATTGTGTGCACACAATGTTAGTTTTAGACAATCTTCCTGACTTTATGGTTTACTGTTAATTATTTATCTGTGTGTAGTTTTTTGGTTAGTTAGTTCTGTGTGTCTGGTCTATATTGTTTTGCTGTAAAGTCTCTCTTTTCTCTCTCTCTCTTTATCTTTTATCCTCTGTAATAATACTTTTACTTCAGTTACAACTGCAGCATTAATTGGCTAGTTTCAACAGAAAGCTTGAGTTGAGTCTCACTTAATTTTTTCAAGTTATGGCCATTTTAAAAAATTGGCCGATTTCTGAAAAAATCCCTGTATAATGCCCATGGTCTTTTTTCCCAAAAAATGGCTTTAAAATCACTCCAAATTTTTATTACATTTTCTGATGCATATTGATGTACTTATGCTGTGTAGAAAATTTGAGCTGATTCCAACTTCAATAAGTTTAATTTTTTGAGTCATGGCCATTTTGTGAAACTGGCCAATTTCTTAAAAATTCCTGTACTATAGCCCATGGTTTTTCTGAAAAATGGCTCCAAAATGACCTCCAATTTTTATTGCATTTTTTGATACATATTGATGAACTTTGCAAGCTACCATCCAGTTTATACAATTTAATTAAGGTATACTTGAGCCAGCAAGAGATATCTATAACCAATAATTTTGGAGGGGTAAAATTATGGTGAATTGCTAATTAGTGGGTATTATTTTTGTGCATGTGCCATACAAATTTGCCAAATTAATACAGTTCTAGCTGCAGTACATGACATGAACTGATAATTACATAATACCTCATTCATTTTGACATCTTGTGCACTGCTTTCAGTATCTGTAATAAAGAGATTAATCAAGTATTATTAATTTACACTAGCTTATATAAGGTTCATAAATATAACTCTGGTCTGTGAGAATTTCCTGTCAATTCTATTTGCAATTTCTTGTTTTCCTACAAGTTTCAAGGCTTCTTTCAAATTTTCACATGTAGGTCCTCCTTTATCATCAACATTTTAACCAATGTGACAAACACTCTTTAAGGCAATTTTCCTCAGTCAAACAGCATCTTTTGATTTGTTTTATTTGTGGTATCCACAAGCCCCAAGGATGAACTAAGTTTATCCCAAGGAAATTATCCTTCCTCAGCAGCCAATGTATAAATACAATATGATTCCTGCAAATCATCGACTCCTATATACATACATA